GTTATATGGCAACTCTTAGCAAAACAACAGGAATTCATTCCTTTGGAGAACAACAGTAGTGATCTATGGTCAGGGGGTGTTCCGGGCTGGACCTTGAGCTCTCCCTACTAACCCACTTACCAGTATGTGTTAAAGATATTGCAGTTATTCATTGCACTAATACTCAAGGATTTTTTAAAGTAAATTGTGCCCAGGATCTTCTTGTGAGATCACTAAGCGCCAAGGAGACAAACTAATTCTTGACAGGCAAGGAAGGACGATGGGGAAACTTGAATAACAAGAGAGAAATGCGCAAAGCTATTGCTATCGGCAATGGGCTGCAGGATTCAAGTCATGATAGCCCCAGTCCTTGTGTGTTCTCTCCATCACCTATGGCCATAAGTGGGCCCCTCTGTTCGTGGAACGAAGTGTATCCAATAGTGCAGAAGTTTGATGTTTCTGTGGCTGATGCTGCACAGGGGTTGCTCTGCTGCTGCCCCACCCACTTCTGATCGCATGGGCATCTGTTCCATGTGTGTATGCGGAATGTCTGGAAGTGCCTGAGCAAACCTGACTTTGCTGTGGTTCTCAGCCACCCTGCCCAATCTAACAGATTCCTCCAGGTCTATTGCCATAGCTGTCTCTGTCAAACAGTGAATGCCATCACCAGGAATACACTGGTTGTTGACTTGGCAGGGTCAAAGCATCTAAGGAAAGCCAGATTACTGTATTTCAGCACCCTTTAAATTATGTAGTATTAGGCATCTTCTTTAAGATCTCAGTTTGAATCCAAGGCAAACCATTCAACAGCACAGTAGTCCAAGTCTATGCCCCAACCACTGGTGCTGAAGGGGCTGAAGTTGACCAGTTCTACGAAGACCTACAACACCTTCTAGAACTAACACCAAAAAATGGTGTCCTTGTCACTATGGGGGATTGGAATGCTAAAGTAGGAAGTCAAAAGATAACCAGAATAACAGGCAAGTTTGGCCTTGGTGTACAAAATGAAGCAGGGCAAAGGCTAACAAAGTTTTGTCAAGATAACATGCTGATCATAGCAAACACTTTTTTCCAACAACCCAAGAGACGACTCTACACATGGACATCACCTGATGACCAACACCAATATCAGATTATGTGTTTTGCAACCAAAGATGGAGAAGCTCTGTACAGTCAGTAAAAACAAGACCTAGAACTGACTGTGGCTCATGAGCTTCTTATTGCTCTTCTTCATGAGCTTCTTATTGCAAAATTCAGGCTTAAATTGAAGAATGTAGGGAAAACCACTAGGCAACTCAGGTATAACCTAAATCAATTTCCTTATGAATATACAGTGGAGGTGGTGAATAGATTAAGGAAACAGATCTGGTAGACAGAGTTCCTAAAGAACTATGGACAGAGGTTTGTAACATTGTGCAGGAGGTAGCAACTAAAACCATCCCAAAGATAAATAAATGCAAGAAAGCAAAGTGGTTATCTGAGGATGCTTTAGAAATAGGGAGGAAAGCAGGGAAATGAAAGGCAAGGAAGAAAGGAGAAGATATACCCAGTTGAATGCGGAATTGCAAAGAACAGCTAGAAGAGATAAGAAGGCCTTCTTAAATGAACAGTGCAAAGAAATAGAGGAAAACAATAGAATTGGAAAGACTAGAGATTTCTTCAAGAAAATTGGAGATATAAAGTAACCTTTCATGCAAGGATGGACATGATAAAGGACAAAAATGGCAGGGATCTAACAGAGGCAGAAAAGATTAAGAAGAGGTAGCAAGATTACACAGAAGAACTATACAAGAAAGATCTTAATGTCTCTGATAACCACAGCTGACCTCAATCCAGGCATCCTGGAGTGTGAAGTCAAATGGGCTTTAGTAAGCCTTTGCAACAACAAAGCTAGTGGAGGCGACAGTATTCCAGCTGAGCTACTCAAAATCCTAAAAGACATGCAGTTAAAGTGCTACACTAAATATGCCAGCAATTTTGGAAAACTCAACAGTGGCCACAGGACTGGAAAAGGTCAGTTTACACTCCAATCCCAACGAAGGGCAATGCCGAAGAATGTTTATACTACCATACAGTTGCACTCATATCACACGCTAACAAGGTTGTGCTCAAAATCCTACAAGCTAGGCTCCAGCAGTATGTGGACCGAGAACTACCAGAAGTACAAGCTGGGTTTTGAAGAGGCAGAGGAACCAGAGATCAAATTGCCAACATTCGCTGGATTATGGAGACAGCTAGGGAGTTCCAGAGAAACATCTACTTTATTGACTATGCTAAAGCCTTTGATTGTGTGGATCATAGTAAATTGTGGAAAGTTCTGAAGGAGATAGGAATACCAAACTATTTTACTTGTCTCCTGAGAAACCTGTATGTGGGTCAAGAAGCAACAGTTAGAACTGGACATGGAACAATTGATTGGTTCAAAATTGGGGAAGGAGTCTAGCAAGGCTATATATTGTCAGCCTGCTCATTTAACTTATATGCCGAGCACATCATGTGAAAGGCCAGGCTAAATGAATCACAAGTTGGAATTAAGATTGCCAGGAGAAATATCAACAACCTCAGATATGCAGATGATACTACTCTAATGGCAGAAAGTGAAGAGGAACTAAAGAGCCTCTTGATGTGGGTGAAAGAGGAGAGTGCAAAAGCTGGCTTGAAACTCAACATTAAGAAAACTAAGACCATGGCATCCAGTCCTATCACTTCCTGACAAATAGAAGGGGAAGAAATGGAAGTAGTGACCGATTTTATTTTCTTGGGCTCCAAGATCACTGCAGATGGTGACTACAGCCAAGAAATTAAAAGATGCTTGCTCCTTGGGAGGAAAGCTATGGCAAATCTAGAGAGCATACTAAAAAGCAGAGACTTCACCTTGCTGACAAAAGTTCATATAATAAATGAGTTGTAATGAGTTGTAATTTAACTCATGCATTAATGAGTTGTAATGCATGGCTGTGAAAGTTGAACTATAAGGAAGACCGAGCACCAAAGAATTGACGCTTTTGAGTTGTGTTGGACAAGACACCTGAGAGTCCTTTGAACTGCAAAGAGATCAAATCAATCAATCCTAAAGGAAATCAACCCTGACTGTTCTCTAGAAGGACAGATACTGAAGCTGAAGCTCAGATCGTTTGGTGACCTAATGAAGGACTCATTGGAAAAGACCCTGATGCTGGGAATTCTTGACAGCAAAAGGAGAAGGGGACAGCAGAGGTTGAGGTGGCTGGATGGAGTCAGCGGTGTGGTGGGCATGGGGCTGGGTGGGCTCCGGGAGGCAGTGGAGGACAGGGGAGCCTGGCCTGCTGTGGTCCCTGGGGATGTGGAAGGTCGGGCACAACTTTGCAACTGAACAAGACAAGACATGCATCTCTTTTAGAATAAGGAAATGTGGGCATGGGGTGAGTGTAAACCAACCTTACCTGGTGCCTTCCAGAAGTGTTTGACTACTTCTCCCATAATTCTTAGAGAGGTTAGATGGGCACTGGGGTCCAAGTTGGGGAAGGCTGGTCTAGAGAGAAGCATTCCTGGTTAGCCTAAACCCTGGACAAAAAAGTCCCTTATACTGCACACAGTTGAGTATGCTACATTTTTGGCAGGAAATAACACCTAAATTGTGTGATCATCTCTGAAATGTGTTATTTAGCTGTTTCTACATTTGCTGCAAAGCTGGGATGGTGTTGGGAAGTCAGAGCCATCAACACGCAGTATGTATCTTTGGTGAAGCCAAAATGCAAAATGTAGGGACCAAATTCCGTGGCTGTTAAATCTGCTTCCATGCTGCTCTCTGCTACTTTAAATGATATGGTGGTGTTCCTTTCACACTCTTCTCCAAGTTAAATTGAATGATTGTGTGTGTGTGAACAGAATGTAGCTCATGAAAAGCCGGTGTTGAGGGACATCAGACTATCTAAAGGGAGGCGAAAAAAGACCATACTCTGTGATAACTCCTGAAGAAGCTTCCCCTGGCTAAGTTGATGCTGAACTTGAAGACAGACTTCATACACTCACCCCCATGGTTACCTTTAGTATGTCCTTGCTGTTTGGTAGTGGGAATGTAGCTACTATAGCAACCGGAATCCCAAAGACCATTCAGTTCTGTGGTGGCATAGTGTATGCTCTGCTGTTTTGGAAGCCCTGCAGAAGGCAACATCCAAAGCTCAGATATACATGTAAACGTTCGATTCAGACGCACTGCCTTCCCATCCTACACCAAAAGGAAGGGGAGGAGGGGACTTGACACAAGCAAAAGCCAGCAAGAACACTCCCATCTATTTTAGCCCATCCAATGAGTAGATTTCCGGCTGGTGGTATAAGGAAGCCAGATGAACCTTCAGCATGGCTACTTTATTTGGGTGAGTGAGCAGTTCTTAACTTATCAGAAAAAGAAGGTGTGAACATGCACACAGTCCTGGGAAAATCTTGTATAGGAGGCAATGTCAGTGGTAGTTCTATGGCACCATTTTCACAGAAAGAACTGATCTTATTCCTTCCATGTGACTCTTGTCAGTGTTAAGATCTTAAGATCATCTTCTTCTCGGCATGTGGTGATGAAGGCTGTCTGTGGTCCTGAAGGTCAAGCAGTTGAGAAGACAATGGGACTGGTTGCTGTGATGTCTCTTGTTCAAGGCCCAGCACGAGGCCTTGCAAAGTGCCTGCCCTAAAACAGGCTATCATGGCCCACTGATGTGTGCCTGGAACTAACTGCCTCATTGATACTGACAAGCAACTTCAGATCAAGAGACATTTATCAGACATTTATTTTTCTATCTAGCAGCCCCAGATTTAGAAAATGGGTAGATTTTTTCTTTTATATATTGAAATACATTAGGCAAACATGAGTGAGAAATGGCAGTTTCTTCTTGTCAATTAAAAATGACAGTGTACTATTAACAACAAGGAGTCTTGTGATACCTTAAAGGTGAGTGACTTTATTCTGGCACAAGCTTTTGTGGACACTGTCAGCTTTGTCAGACGCATCTGATGAAATGGATAGTTTCCATAAAAGCTTATGCCAGAATCAATGCCTTAGTCTTAAAGGTGCCACAAAACTCCTTTGTTGTTTTTGTTGTAACAGATTAACATGGCTTTGCCTCTGGAAATTGTTACCATGCAACGTTTTTGTGTACCAGCCAGGCCTCTGCCCTGCTGCACCTGAGAAACATTTCCATTTCAGTGCTGGTTATGGCAGCTTTATATAAAATGCTTTCCTCTTGATATGCTCCTTCACTGCCAGATGAGAGACCTGGCCCATGAGAGAGTCAACTGGACAGGATAACCATGCAAGAGATCCTTATTGCCAAAGCTAAGAAGTGGCTGCATCGGATGGCCTAGCTATGTCTAGTGCAGCTTTGCTTTTATGCCAGGTGTCAACACTGGATCTGAAATGTATTTAGGGCAGGTGCTGATGTCACGGCTACCTCCCTCTTTGTGTGTGCCTATTCTAGTAGCCTTGATTTCCCAGAGCGACCTTCTTCGAAGGGATGGAGCAGTGGGAACAGGAGAGAAGCACATACACTGGTCACCTAGGATGCACAAGAATGAGGAGAGATAAGCCACGAGCTATTATCAGCTTAAAACTGGTGTGCTTTACAGTGCAAGACCACCTAGACAAAAGGTTTTTGTTTTTTTTTTAAACTATCTTAATGCAATATAAAAATACATCAATAGCAACAAAAAATAAAAAGGGAAAAGACTTGCAATACAAATAAATTGAATCATATAAATTGATCAATCAAAGCAATTAATATTTAAATTATATAATACTGAACACAGAAGGTGCATCCCCACACCAGGACTTCTGATTATATGATAATTATATCTATATATGCCCTCTTCTTTGTTCCTTTCTCATCCAAAATTGCATTGAATCATACAAAGGTTTAATACCCTTCCCTTCTGTTAATATGTATTCAATAAACAACCCACAAATGTCATAAAAATTATTCTTATTTGTCAACCCTTTTTTCACCTTAATGCTACAATGTTAACTAGTTATTAAAAGCTATATTCCAAACGTCCTTATACCATTCACTTAACTGGAAGTCACATTTTTCTTTCCAGTTCTTTGCTATTATTAATCTCACAGCAGATGATAAATTTGTTATTAATTCTTTAATATTCCATATCCAATTCCTTTCATGAAATAGTGACAATAATGTAATTCCAGGGTCTGCTTCAATATCTAAATTTAGTATTTTGCTAATTTTCCACTTTCCAAAATCTCGTAATATTTTTACATTCCCACCACAGAAACTATTCTAATCTCTCACCTTCACTGTTGTTTGACAGACAGTATGATCCCAGTAGCCGAATTCAAGCACTTCACAGACCAGCAGCCTGCTTTCAAGGTTCTCAAGCCATGGTGGGATGTCTTGGCTGAGTACATCACCATAGCCATGCTGATGATAGGCGTTTTTGGCTGCACTCTGCAAGTAAGTATGGGGGAGCCTATGCAGCAGCTAAATAGAATCACCGTGTCATGGGGACTGGGGGAGACATTGCACTGGCTGCTGCAGAAGTTGGGGACATTCTGGGCAGGTGTGGAAAAAACAGATGGCTAGAGACAGTCAAGTTCTTGAGTGTGTGGATTCTCTACATCCGACTTCTTAGGAGACAGAGGATGTCACCTGGAGGTGGCATTGTACAGGTTCATCAGCTTAGCTGGGAAGAGCCTGGTCTCCTTCACTGAAATACCTGGTGGGCCTCTTTTCTCCTGGCTGATAGAAGCCTTTACCACCTGAAAATGAGAGGCTATGCCATGAGGAGAGTATTCTGGATCGGTGCAACACTGCGGGGAGGAAAGTATGGGAGGCAGAATTCTTAAATTTTATTTTTTATTCTAAGAAGGGTATGAGGTATTGGGGGCGGTATAGAGCAGGAGGGAAATGGAGATCTCCTGTGTCAGTCTGGATCACAATCTGCAGTCTGCTTAGTGACTTACTCCAAAGAAGCCTACAGAGGGTTGGAGATTGGCATGACTGTTGGTAAGATCCACCCAGTCTACAACTGAATATTAAAATGTAGCTGCACAGCTTTGATAGCACAGGAAGTACAGGCATAGGAGTAATGAATCTAGGCATAATTCTACAGGGGCACAGCCCAAGCTACTGAAAGTCCATTAGTATAGAGAAGGCTAGCTTACCAGTTAGTGTGATGTAGGCTTGTTTGGGCTGTAAGTGCAGTATAATGAAAGCATAACAATGGACTACTCCAGTTGGACGGGGTGGTGGTGCTCTATTTAAAAAATATATATTTGCATGTAGAAAGAATAAGTCCTGGGTACCTGAAGGAGTGCCTTCTTTCTTATGTGCCCTCCCACCCCTTGAGATCTGAGGTGGAGGTCCTGCTCCGGGAGCCCTCCTTGAAGGAGATCAGGAGGGTGGCTATCTCTGCAGTGGCACCCGGTCTATGGAATAACGCTCCCCTAAGAGGTTTGCATGGCACCAACACTTTATTCTTTTTGGTGTCAGGTGAAAACATTTTCCCATTATTTTAATGTTTAGTTGGTTTTAACTGGGGTTTTATCTTGACTTAATGGATGCTGCACTTGTTTTGTTTTGTTGTTTTATTTTATTTGTCTCTTATTGTAAGCTGTCCCAAGACGTCAGTGGTGGATGGGGTACAAAAGTTTTAAATAAAATAAAATAAAATAAAATAAAATAAGTATCTACTGCAACAGAAAGAGAAATTCTAGCCCAGCCCACTCCCTCTGTGTAATTCCACCTGCAGTGAGTTTTTAAAAAATATATTTTCAAAAATGGGATTCTCCCACCTGCAGCTTGAAGTGGTAAATTCCACTGAAGCACTTCAGGGCTCTACCAGTTTATTGTGCTCTACTGGTCTCTGTGATATCTCATGTTCCTCTCTTTTCTTCTTCTGCCTAACATGATAGGTGCTACAAGATAAGATTATTTGCCTTCCCAGTCATGTTCCCAATGGTACAGCCTTCACTGATGTAAGTTGTGAAGATTTCACAAAGAAGAGGATCAGTGCTTCTGAGCCCATCACACCCTCTGCCTACCGGGAGATGCATGGATTAAAGAACAACTTAGACCTCCAACAGTACAGCTACATCAATCAAATGTGCTATGAGACAGCCCTCCACTGGTATGCCAAGTACTTCCCCTACCTGGTTATCATCCACACCCTCATTTTCATGGTGTGCGCCTCTTTCTGGTTCAAATATCCAGGGACCAGCTCCAAGATCGAACATTTTATTGCCATCTTGAGCAAGTGCTTTGACTCACCCTGGACTACTCGAGCTATCTCAGAAGTCTCTGTGGAGGAGAATGGAAGCTCAGAGAAGGCAGATCGGAGAAGGAAAAGCAGTGCTGCCACTGAGTTGATGCAGCTTTCCTCCTCGGGGGGATCAGTGACGGAGAAGAAGGTGGCAGAGTCTTCCTCCATTAGCCTGCTGGACAAAAAGGAAGGTGAACAGGCCAAGGCTCTCTTTGAAAAGGTGAAGAAGTTCCGGCTCCATGTAGAAAAAGGAGACATCCTTTACACCATGTACATCCGTCAAACTGTTCTTAAAGTCTGCAAGTTTCTAATAATTACTGTTTACAATGCAGTCCTGGTGCCTAATATCAGCTTCATAGTGCCATGCAGCATCAAGATGGAGGACATGACCGGGTATGACCATTTCTGTTGCAATCACACCAAAGCCCATCTCTTTTCTAAGCTGGCCATCTGCTACATCTGCTTTCTTGGCATATATGGCATGACCTGTCTCTACACTCTTTACTGGCTTTTCCACAGGCCACTCAAAGAGTACTCCTTTAACTTTGCACGCAAGGAGACAGGCATCAGCGACATCCCAGATGTCAAGAATGACTTTGCTTTCATGCTGCACCTCATTGACCAGTATGATTCCCTCTACTCCAAGCGCTTTGCTGTATTCCTCTCCGAGGTCAGTGAGTTCAAGCTCAAGCAGCTGAACCTCAGTCATGAATGGACAGTGGATAAACTGCGGCAGAAGCTGCAGAAGAACTCTCATGGCCGGCTGGAACTCCATCTGTTCATGCTACCTGGATTGCCTGATACCATCTTTGAGCTGACTGAGGTAGAGGCCTTGAAGCTGGAGCTTCTGAAAGATGTTACTTTTCCAGCCTCTGTCACTCAGTTGGTCAATCTCCAAGAGCTAGCACTGATCAACTGCCCTGCTAAGTTGTCCTTTACTTCTCTTATGTTCTTCCGTGAACACCTCAAGGTGGTGTTTGTGAAGTTTGATGATATAAAAGATATACCTGTATGGACCTACAACTTGAGAGGCTTAGAAGAGCTTCACATCTTGGGACATTTCAACCCAGAGATGGGCCGGGCAGGAACTCTGGAATGCCTGCGTGAGCTCAAGAACCTGAAGGTCCTGTCTCTTCATAGCAATATCTCCAAGTTGCCACCCAGTGTGGCTGACCTTGCTGCTCATCTGCAAAAGCTTAGGATTCACAATGATGGGACTAAGCTGATGACCCTCAACAACCTCAAGAAGCTCTTCTCAGTGCAAGAAGTGAAGCTGATCAACTGTAACCTAGAGCGTATCCCGCACGCTGTCTTCAGCCTGGTGAACCTCCAGGAGCTGGACCTGCGGGATAACCAGCTGAATACCATTGAGGAGGTCATCAGCTTCCAACACTGCCGCAAGTTAGTATGCCTCAAACTTTGGTATAACCATATTGCCAGCATTCCTGAACACATCCGCAAGCTCAAGTCCTTGGAGCAACTTGACCTCAGCCATAACCGCATTGAGGCCCTCCCTTCCCAACTGTTCTTGTGCACTAAGCTGACCTATTTGGACCTTTCTCACAATAACATCCAGGTTGTACCTCCTGGGATGGGAGTCCTACAAAACCTGCAGTATTTTGCCATTTCTCACAATTCCATTGAGGCACTGCCAAATGAAATCTTCTTCTGTAAGAAACTCAGGATCCTCAAAGCAGGAAACAACAAATTGCGCCGCCTCTCTGATCGTGTGTCCTGGCTGCCTTTGCTCTCCAGGCTAGAATTGAAAGGGAACCAGCTTGAGGCCTTGCCCCTGGAGATAGGCCAATGCAAACTCCTCAAGCACAGTGGCCTGGTGGTAGAAAGCAACCTTTATGAAGCATTGCCTTCAGAGGTGAGGGAGAAAATGGAGGAGGAATAATGAGAAGAATGACAGTGGAGATAGGGGGCCCTACAAGTGTTGGCTGCACAGACGTGGCACCTGTAGCAAGCTAGCTGAAACGGGATATATCTTGGAAACTTTCCTGCTATTTTTCTCCATGCCATTATGGGGTAGAGCTCCTAAGGCAAGCAAATGTCCAACTCCAGTTGGAACCAGGGAGGAAATGGAAGACTTTCACCCTATAAGGGGTACAGAGTAGGAACTGAAAGCTTCGGCATACAAGTGGAACAAGGACACAAAAAACAATGCTTTAAAAAACAAACCAACCAAACATACTTTTCAAAATGGATAAGTAGTAATTATTTGTATGAAAGAAACAGCTGCACCAAATTGTCATTACAGTTATTTTTATACATGCGTGTGTCCTTGTGTATATTTTTGAAACATTCTGGGCTTTGTGAGACTGTTTCATACAAATGAATTAATGTGTCCTGTTCTCCTCACACCTCTGCCCAAATTCCTGGACTTAACTAAAACTCATTCTTTGCAGTGTCCTATAGTTTTGTGAGAGAGAGAACGAGAGGTAGCCTTATGGAAAGGCAAGCACCTAGTTCTGTGCACTGTGACTTCTTTGCTATGAGAAGTGTTGAGTCCCTCCGGGTTGGTGGAGAGCCAAATCATAACCCAGTGATATACCATTGATACATAAGCATTTGTGATATGGTAGACTTTGGCCTATTCAGGATTCTCTTTGGGCATGGAAGCCGTAGCACATCTACATGCTGAAAGATCCAGGTTCAATTTCCTGCATTTCCAGATAAGGCTTGAAAAACCTCCCACCTGAAATTTTGGAGAGTCACTGTCCGTCAGTGGTGACAGAACAGGGCTAAATGGACCACAGGTCTCAGTATCAGGCAGCTTCCTAGGTTCCTATGACTCTGGCTTACTCCCCACTGGGGAGAGTTCTCCCCATACAACTTGACTCATGGGCATGCCTGCCAACAGGAGGGAGCAGGGAGATGATCCCCTTTGCCCCTGAACATTTGTTCCAGTTGGTTCAGGGACCATGTAGAATTGGGGGGTGGGGGAGCTGAAACAGGAAGAAGGGATCTGTGAAAATCACCTCCCCTTTCTCCACTGGAGCAGTGTCCATTCAAATACAAAGAAATAGGTATGGGGGTTAAAGGGTGCTAGCAGATATTGTCTACTTAGACTTCAAAAGCCATCTAGCCCAGCATTATCAGTGCTGATTGGCTGTGGGTCTGCAGTGGGGTTCAGGTGGGCACATCACCTTCCAGGAGATGCTGGGTATCATATCTGGGATCCTCTGTATGCAAAGCAGCTGCTCTGCCAGTAAGTCAAAGCCTCACACCCTTGTATGGGGCCGGGCTTGTGGCAGCATCCCTCATGAATAAGCGAATCAAGCAGGCATAGAATGAGCAGCGGGCTCCTATAGATCACAGGTTAAAGAATACAAAGCAGAGAGTAGGAATAAATGGACAATTCTCCCAATGGAAAGATATAAACAGTATTCTTCACCCACCCCACAGAGCTGTATTTGAACTGGTGTTTTTTAACGTGCTCAAAATGAGCTGAAGTGAACGATGAAGTTGCCAAGGTAGCCACAAAAGAAGGCCTCGGCTTTCAGGCTGGTTAAGGGGGGCAAGGAAGTCCTTTAGATGGCAGAGTACCTAGCAAAATGGTGAAATGTGCTCAGTGGATTTCAACAGCAAGGGAACAGACGATGCATGCATAATTATGTTGTTACAGTCCACTAGTAAGTATCAGGGCTATTAATGGGGCCCTAGGCAAGTTGTCCTCCAGTGGCCTCTTGTCAAGCTTACTGGTGCTGGTGGGGAGGGGACAGGCCGTGGTAGACGGAAGAGGGGATGGGTGGCAGTGCTGGGAAAACTCCAGGTTCAAGCTGCTGCCACCCTTATCTTTCACCCCCAGTGCTCCTGAATCTTGCTCATAATGTGTATATTGGAGGCAGGGCCCAGAGAGACGGAAGATAAGCACAGTAGTGCTGGCTGCAGCCTAGTACTGCAAAAGGAAACCCTGAGCCTTTGCTTGCTTGTTTTTTTAAGGGGAAATTGCCATCAGCCACAGTGAGCCCTCTGGAAAGCAACATTTGCCCCACTATACTGGATCCAGATTCTGAGCATGGAATAAGTTCCTATAATGGAGCATCTACTAGCAGGAGTGTATGCAAATGCCATTAGTGCCAACAGTGATGTTCTGACTAATCAAACAGTAAAAAATATTGGCGCACCTTCAAGACTACCAAAATTATTATGGCATAAGCTTCAAGATGCATGAAATATTGTCTTGATTTACAGGTATGCCTACAATGGTGGTGGAATTGTAAATAGTGAGTTCAGGGGAAATGACTTGCAGAGTTATTAGCAGTAGTTATTCACAAAACAGCTGATGAAAGCAGACACACTGGTGTTACTGTGCAGTACATGGTGGAAGAACTAAGTTGCTTTGGCCATTGGCCAATGAAGCCAAATTCCAATGCCAAATGAAAATATTTGTATAAGTGAGTGCCATTCAAGCTATTACCAATGGTGGCAAAGGATCCTGCACATGAACCCTAAGGGAGACCTTTGCCACCTCCTAATCATTCATGAAACAGTATTTGCTAGAGTGATATGGATCTTGAATGAAGGGCCTAACATTCTTTAGGAATTGGACAACCCAGTTAGGAATTGTGCATGAACATTTCAGAAACAAGTCCTTTCCATTTTCTCAACCTGTCAAGGGATTGTTATTACATTATGTTACATTTTCATCCCTTTCTCATTCCAAGGTCCTCAGGGAATCATAAGAGGTTCCAGCCTTTTACTCTTTAACAGCCTGGGAGTTAGGCTAGATTGGAAGGCTGTGTCATCCAGAAAGTGCTACTGCTGAGCAGTGATTTGAATTCAAGCCTCCCAAATCTCACATGCAGGAGCTTGGGGTGGGATAGGCTGTGACAGGATGGAGATCACGGTGGAGTGCACCACAAAGTGATCTGTTAAATTGTTCCTGTATGTTCATCATGGGCACAGACTGACTTGGGTCAGGCATATCATGTAATGCAGCAGATCAGAGAAAGTTGATATGGATGGGATCTTTTGCTCCATTGCGTCCTACCAGTTTTGGGTGATGGTGGTTTTACATTTCTGAACTTCAGTAGTGTTGTGGTGCATTTTGATGACCACATGGCAATCCCCATAGTTACGCCCCCAAGGAGAGTTCCAAAATTCAGGAAGTTGTATTGATTCATATTAACCAACAAGCTCGAATGCCCATTCAAGGCAAAGCTACCTCCAAATACTTTGCACTGCAACAGGGAACAGTTCAACCCTCCTCCCCGCATCCCACCCCAGCTACTTTGAAGATTGCGGCTAAGCTTAGAGGGGACAGGGACTTCTAGGGGCAGCAGCATAATCCCTGCTACTGAAAAATGTTTTAATAAATAAATAAATAAATAAGTACTGGTGCGCCACCCTAAGAGGCCCCACTCCACTGCCCCACTGTCAAAGTGGTTCCCTCTAGTCCCTTTCAGAACTTGCTACTTCATCAGTAGATGAGGCCTGTCTTGTGTTGCATCTTTATGCCACCTAGTGGTTATTCAAGCCTCTTCAAGAGAGCCAATAAAATCTAGAGTTTCTACATATTTTTTTAAAACATCAGCAAAGCTAATCTATTTGAAGTAAGATGTGGGTGTGCGAGACAAGGATGCTCAAGCGTAGGGCAGATTGCCTGTTCAGGTCTGAAGAGACCATGTACAATTGAGGTTTTCTCCCCTACACTGCCAATTAATTATCTGTGGGCTTTCTTTTTTGAAAGATAGGCAGGACATTCATCTTAAATGTACAGTAAATAAATAGGTTGCTAGGGTGCATTGCCCATTTTGACTTAAACCTCTTTATAGCACAAAGCCTTCACAGCACAAGGATTTTTGGGTCACAAACAGCCACATTCAGCAGGGTGTTGGCTCTTGCCAAGTTTATGCAGATGGCCAGCTCAAGTGCTCGAAATGTCCTAGCACTGCACAAGCATGAAGCAATGCAATTTCAATGGAAGATTTCAAAAAAGTCAATACATACTTGAGACTTCCACTAAAGCATGTGGCATGCCTGCCTAGCTTTGGTCACAATCAGAAAGGTCAGGACACACTACCTCATACAGCCAGACATGAGCGCAAAAGGCTTCTTATTAGGGATGAGAGCAACACAGCCACTACCACAAAAAAGGCTGGGATGACCACTGGGAATAGCAAGGCTGCTGCCTCAGGAGGCAAATGCTGAGGAGTGGAAAGGGGCTACAGGATGTTGGCAGGACTGACTTACCTGCCCCATGCAGCCTGCCTCATACCTCAGAACCTGGGGATGCTCAGTCTTATCTCTCTTATAACAATAAGACTCAATAGCCAGCCTGGCCAGCTTCTGCACATAGAATAGGAAGGCCCACCAGGCCCAGAGAACTTCAGCTACAGGCCAGCTCATAAATTGAATGAATTATGAACGAGGGTGCAAGTCTATGGCCAGGCATCAGAAAAGATGGAGTCTGTGCTGTGACCTTGAGAAAACCTTCCCCAGTTCCAGCAGGGACTCTGCCTTCAGACCAGCCCCACCTCTGCCCTCTCAGCTGAGGCCGTTCTTTTCCTCCTGGCTGAGGCCTCACAGATGGGAAACCATTTTCAAGGCAAGTACTGAGTGCAGGCAGGAAGGGAAGGGGCAAGACACCTCCAGCTTCTGCCAAATCCAGGCAGAGGTTTCACAATTCCTCCTCATTGTGAGGGGTAGAAGCATTCAGATGACTGAAACTGGCCATCTAAATGCTTTTGAGGGTGAAGGACAGGATGCCAATAACCTTAAGAGTTCCGAAGGTTATGAGCAAGTACAAAGAATTCCACTCAAAACATAAAATCCAGAGACAGTACAAGCTGAGCAGACCAAAACACTGGGTAAGTATGAGGAAGGCTAAAATAGTGCTGCAGTCAGAGCAGGGCTTCTGAGGTAAACACCCAGGACCCCACTCAACAAATTGAGCAGAAGTTCCCCCAAAATGGAGCAGCAACAGGAGGTGGCTAGTCAGACCTCACCTGGAATATTGTGTTTAGTTCTGGGCACCCAGGTTTTAAAAAGATGCAGAAAATCTAGAAAGAGTTCAGAGGAGGGCAACTAAGATGATCCAAGGCCTGGAAACGAAGTCTTATGACCAGCGGCTGAAAGAGCTGGGCCTGTTTAGCCTTGGGAAAAGAAGACTTATGAGGGGATATAATAGCACTCTACAATTACCTCAAAGGCTGTCACAAAGAGGAAGGAAAAGTCCTCTTCTGAGTGTAGGAAAGGGAACAATGAACTCCAGCACACCAGGTGCAGGCTAGACACAAGGAAAAGCTTCCTCAGTGTCAGAGCAACATGGGAGTGGAACCACTTGCCAAGTGAGGTCATGGACTCTCCCACACTAGAGACATTAAAGACAAAACTGGACAGTCAACTGAGTGTGATGGTGTGACTTGGTGTCCTGCACCAGCAGGGGGTTGGTCCCAGTGGCTTTCTTGACCCCTTCCAACCCCACTATTCTAACAATGTATGAACAAGAAGGCTTTATAGGGCTCAGTGGGCCTGGATTGGCCATCGGAGGTCACAGATTGCAGTGGCAGTGGTCAGACCCTGGAGCTGAGGGGTACATGAATCCAGCTTGTCTGGGGTAATAAGCCCTCCCGGCTCCTCCAGACGGCCCACGTCTTTCTTCAGACCACAAACCTCCAACTGGTTGGACTTCTAGTGTTGGACTTACACCACATCAGTGCTTATTCATGAAATTCACTGGGTGACCTCAGGGCTCTTCTTATCAGCCAAACCTACCTCACAAGGTTGTTGTGAGAATAGAACCGGGGGAAAGGAATCATATGCGTCCCTTTGGAGGAAAGAAAGATAAAATTAAAGAAAGCTGTTACTAATAGTTCTGTGATTAATATTTTTAATCATAGTCCCTTCCTGCCCACCTGCCTCCCTGCACAGGGAAGGAGGAAGGAAGGAAGGAAGGAAGGAAGGAAGGAAGGAAGGAAGGAAGGAATTTGTCACAAGTGGTAGCGATGATTTTGAAAGCAAATGAGTCCTGAGTAAAGAGTGTTTTCCCCTTTTTCTCCTCCAATCCTTTTCTGGCACATGCAGCTGCCATGGAAACAGAATAAAGATTCTTGTACTGAGAGCCGTAGCAGAGTGGTGTGCAAACCAAAACCACAACCAAAGGAGAAAGAGTCTGTGAAAGGGCTGACCACACGGACTGAAAGGGGGAGAGCTGAGATTGCATACAAACCGTACCGGACTGCTTGCAGGTGAGCGACTGACTGCCAATTGGAGAAGGAGTAAAAGAAGAGAGGGAGAGCAGGGTAACCCAGAGGATTTATGGGGCCTGGGGCAGGTGTAGAGCCAGGTGCCCTGCCACCTTCCCCTAAAAGGACCCAGGAGCAGGGAAGACTCTGGCGAGCAACAAGGGAGGCGCTCCTGTGCATACCAGCCAACAATATGACCCAAAACTTTGCTTGGGCCAGGGATAATTGTCCCCAATGTCCTGCTACCCTCGGGTCAGCCCTGCAGGAGGGAAGGATGGCACAGAGCCCACAACCAGCATAAGAATCATACCTTAACATGGTAAAACCACACATTTACATTACTTTTAAGAATGGTCCCCGGTGCAAAAAAGGCAGACTCAGCAGCAGCAGCAGCAGCAGCAGCAGTGTGTTCAGTTTTTACTTGCAGGAGATCAGAGCTCAGAGTGTTCATTTTGCTTCCAGAGTGGAGTAGCTTTCCTTGAACAATAAAATAGGCAGATTCACATGGTACCATGAGCAAACAAGAATGTATGTACCTGGAAAAGAGGAAAAGTATTTTCCCTCTTTCTCTCTGGCTAAGATCTAAAGAGTATGCTTTGCATTGTCAAACACAGAGACTAAAAGAACTAAAAAACAGCTGCTGTTTGAGCTAGTTCCCTCCAGATGTTGTTGGACTATAAGCCCAGGCATTCCTGACCTCTGGTCATGCTGAGGTCAGGAAGTTGTAGTTCAAAGGTTTTGGGGGGATTCATTATATGGGATTGGTTCCTGATTCTGCAAAATACTTCATTTATTGGCTATCTTCACTTTTCATCTGTGTACCCAAGTAGAAATTATTCTCCATCTAGGCATTGTGGAATTTCATTAGAGCAAGACCATTCACCACTTGGACATGTGCCTGATATGACTTATAAAGTGCTGGAGCTGGAAAAAAGATGGAAAAACCATACAATAAGTTACATATCATATGGCCTTAGCAAATTTACTACTTCAGCTCCTGATCTACATAACAACTTCTAGTAATCGGAGTTGGATGAAAATCTATATGAGAAAAAGGAGTGCTACTTACCCACAGATTTGGAGGTAGGGTTGGCTTAGTTAGAATCTCTGCAGAACATTGTAATACATTGTATAAATTGTATTCATAGAGATTTTCAAATAGGCTAAACAATTTGGTGTATATCCTGCCTTTCACTCTCTCCCTGTACTAAGCATTAGTAATTAACTTTGGTATTTATATTTTTCCTTTTTATGCCCAAGGTATATTCAAGGCAGTATTCAGGAAAAAGAAATAGTAATGAAAACAACAGCAGCAAGAAAGCTGACATACAAGAAAGGGAAAAAGGGAAAGAACAACGGCTTTTCTTTCTCTGTACTGTTTGTATGAATTAGTTAATTGTGTTTAGGCTTTATCATATATATGAGTGCCCAAATAAAAGAGTTCACTTACTTAAAAGGAGGCAAACAAAGGGCCTGACAAACCCTTCTTGAGAGAATGGCTTATTTAAATCAGCAAGCTTAATCCAAATGATTCCACATCCATTTTGAAGCACAAAGCCTAAATTGTGGTGTTAGAAGGGCTTTGACATTCCAGTTTGAATGTTTAGGAGTGAGCGACATGCATCCTACAGGCCACATGTGACCCCCCCCCCCAATTCTGCAGTTTTTGCAGCACCCCTTAATTTGGTGGTATGGCAACTACAAAAAACATCTGTGGTTTGTTACTTAAATTCAGCAGCAGAGTTTTACAGAGCCTTAGAAAGGTCAAACCTATCTTATTTTATATAGTCATTTTATAACAGTTTTATAGTCGTTAGCCAATCCCCCCCCCCCCCCGACAGTTGACTGCCAAATTTGGTCATGACAACAAAAGCAGGAGCACAGCCCATGGGTGGGGGGGATTTGCCGCCAGACTGCTCCTTGAGCCCCACCCATTCATACTTGCTGATAGTACCTAAAGCAAGACCCTTCCAAGAAAAATGCTTTTTGAAAAAGATGGAAATGGTTGTAATCAGGTCAGAGTGTAGAAAACACCTCCGTTTTCTCCTCCTTTTCTACATGAGGCTATTAATCCACTGTGGTTTCACTGCAGTATTGAGATTTGAGTTCTAAAAGAACAGTGTTTCTTGCCCCGCTGTTCTAGTACAAAACCTCTGGCTGGCACTGTGGTGGAGCAGAATAGTATAAATACACACTGGAACAGCATTTCCTTTTGCTCTCACAAATAAAACCCATTCCTCCTGCCTTGGCTTTAAAAAAACAACAACAACAACCCTCACCAAACATGCAGTTTATTAATAAAAGCAAAATTGGATACTGTCTGAAGAACATGTGAACAACCATAAGTGCACAATAAATGCCTCACATAGAAAAGCTTCAAGGCAGGGGAGCTCATTTAGGGAGGAACCCTAACCCTAACCCACAAACTCCAGACATATAGGACTATCCATACAAGTGATCTACCGAGATTTACTCTCTCAGTTCCATGTAAGAGAAGCTGGAAGTGATCTTCTCTCCTGACCTAGCCTGTTCCACTTTCCTGGGAGGGAAGGAGCCTGTAAACACTGCAAAAACACACCTATATTCATAGGCCAACTCTTTTTCATGCTGGTAACAGTATCTCAGAGGGGTTTGTGTGTGTGTGTGTGTGTGTGTGGAGGGGGTATTTAATTAAAAATTTCCCTGAAAGGTACAAATGCTTAGGAGTTTCAATAGGGACAGCCTTGATTTACTGCACTTTCCATCACCCTTCATCATTGCCTGTGCTGACTTGGGCTAATGGGATAGTTATTCAGCAATATCTAGAGGGTTACAAGTTGCCAACCCATTTTAATGGACAAGCCAATGAATGCCCTTACTCTTTCTTTCCCTAGTGATGCTTACCTTGACAGAAATGACATTCCCCAGTGGCAGCCATGCCCAGTTCCAGACCCTAAAGCCTTGGTGGGATGTCCTGATGGACTACTTGGGAATAGCGATGATGATGGTTTCACTTCTATCAGGAACTCTGCTAATCTCAATTGACCAAATGACTTGTTTGCCTTTGAATGACAAGCTGAATGACTCTACAGCAGCTAGGCTGCATGTTGGAGTAAGCAGTCTTGCCATCACAGAAGAGACTCCTGTCACAAACAGTGGCCACTCCATCAATCTTGACTACCAGCAGTACCTGTACATCAGCCATGTCTGCTATCAGAAGGCTTTGCCTTGGTTCTCCAAGTATTTTCCTTATCTTGCACTTGTCAACTCCTTGATCCTAATGGCAAGCAGCAATTTTTGGTTCAGGTACCCCAAGACTTCATCAAAAATTGAACACTTCTTATCCATCCTCATGAAATGTTTTGAGTCACCTTGGACTACCAAAGCTCTCTCTGAAATGGCCTGCCAGGGCTTCTTACGCCACTCCAAACCCATGGATACTCGAAGAAGTGGAGAACAACTCATTTCACCATCCTTCTCCTTCTCCTCCTCCCCCATCCTAGACTGGAAGGACAGGGAACAAGGCCGGGCTCTGTTTGAAAAGATCTGCAGATTCAGAGCACACACAGAAAGCTGTCGCTTGATTTATATGGTCTACACAGGACAGACAATCTTCAAGGTTGCAAAGATCCTAACTGTGTTGTGCTACACCTCCAACTGTGTGGGATCCATCTCCTTCAAGCATGTCTGCTGGCCAGACACAGAGAATCTCATTGGCTACTCAACTTTCCTCTGTACCCATAGCTTGGCTTTCATTCTGCAGAAACTGATGGCTGTCTATCTGTTCTTGGTAGTCCTTTATGGGGTAGTGGGGACTTACCCACTCTTGTGGCTCATATGGCAGCCACTGCAGAAGTACTCCTTTAAGCACGTGGAAGAAGACATCCCAGATGTGTACAACGATTTTGCTTTTCTGCTGCACGTAGCTGACCAATGTGACCAACTATATTCTTGGCGGTTTGCTATCTTCCTCTCAGCCATAAATGTGAACTGCTCACTGGATGTGGGACTTGACCATGAGTTGATTAATGAAGATTGGGTTGGCCATAATTCTCTGGCCCCAACCTCAAAGTAAACAGATGGGCAGTTAGAAATACATGAACGAACAGCATGTGTTGAATCCCAGACTGGCCTTCTGGAAGAGCAAGGGCTCTGCTCACAAAAGTTTCCTCTGCCTGATTCTTGGGAATTTCCCCCAGCTCACAACTCACTCCATTCAACAGGGCCTCCTGCTTTGCTGAGTGGGGTTGCACTGGAATACTAACGTAATACTTATAAGCCACTTCACCCTGATGTGCCTTACAGACGGTTGGGCGTATTGCAAGTAGTGTGTGTGCACTGTGCCTCACCCTTTGCCCCTCTCAGTCCTAACCCATGGCTCACCGCAGGGGTACTTCTCACCCCTACTTCTCAGCACAGGCAGGGAGGAGAAGCCCTCACTCTGACTCACAGGTACGTATCAGGAGTCACACTGAAGGCTGTCAGCACTGCCGTGACTACAGCAGATGCAGCTTACCGAGATCAGCAGCAGCTTCGTCCCACCTTGCTCCTCCATGCAGGACCACAGCTCATGGCGACACTGGAGGGAGCTAAGCTTAGCAGAGTGCTCCCCTGCATTGCTGGACAGCCCATCAGACATCAGCAGCACCACAGAGGAGGGAAGCTGCCATCAGCTCAGCTGATTTGTGAATCAGCTGAGCTGATCTTAGCTCCCCTGCTGACCATGCTGCTACCCCAAGCAGCAGCAGTGCTGGGCAAGGGGAAGGCTTCTGACAGCTGCCCCCTGCAATGCTTGGGCACTTTGGGGACAGCTGTTGTGGGTGCTTGCCCAGCAGCAGTTTTGGTGCTGGCCAATCAGCTCTGTGGTAGTTTGGGCTACCATGGGGCTTGTCATGTTGCCTGGGTTTGGATGACCAAGTGAGCCCAGGGGTAACTCTAAAACTCTCCAACAAGGCATGGCCTGTCAAGGTAGTTTATAAGCCCAGAAAACCATACCAAATAAGCCATGGTGCGTTTATAAAGCCAGGGGACTTGTCCTGTTATGTGAGCCATATGTGACATTTTCAGGGGCTGCAAGGATTGCTTGGGGGAGGAGGGAGCAGGGAATTCCGCTCATGTGAGAGTTGTTGATCCAGCTTAAATCTGGATTCAGTCTTATAGCATTTTTTCCCAAGCCGTTTGCCAGGTTTCAGTTTCTTCATACTATTCTTTCAGATTTCAAACAAACACCCCTCACTCCACAAGCCAGAGTCATGTCAAAATGATGCAGTTTCCAAGATCAAAGATCTTTGAAAAATATGTCTGGGCCACTCCTATGGGAATAAAATAACCAGTGTAGTTTCAACATGCCCTCTTGAAAAAGCAAACAGATGTACCATCTGTCCAGATCTATCCAGAGTTTCAGACAAAACATTGCCTCCTGTATCTCCCTATCTTGGAGAAGAGTTGTAGCTTTTAAGATTTATGACATATGCAAAAGAAAAAGAGACATGAAAAATGTTTCTGTTAAACACCTAGACAGGAAAAAAAGAGATGTCAAAAAAGAGCCAAGAAAGAAAGAGCGGCATTACCTATCAAAAATACTGCAACAGGAAATAAGCAGTGCAATTGGTAAGCAGATTGAGAAAGAACCAGATTACAAATGGACCACAGTAATCTTTGGGTAAAACCAGACAACTCGCATGAATACTGTTTACCCTTTCCTTTGTCTCCAGTTCCAAAATCAAATCAGGACTGTGTTCTTTGTTTTACAGCAATCAAAGGAATATGTCATAGGAATTGAAAACAGTAGCATAGCTGAATCAAGAAGACAAAAATTGCTCCATGGGAACTGAATGGCCTGTTGCAGCTTGCATTTAGGGAGCAGGAACTAATGTCATTAGAATGTTCTGGGTGAATTCAGGAAAAATTTAACTGTAGCGAAGGTCATACAGATGCTGCTAGTGAATTAGACAAACCATTGCAGAAAGCCCAGAGGCCTAGACTAAGAAGCCAGTAGAGTAAAACCAAACTGACTCTTTCCTTTAAACATTGAACCTTCTATATAGGGCATGCTAGGATTGTGACTTTCCTTTTGCTTCCATTGGTACTGAGTATTAGTACTCTGAACATGGATGAGCATTAAACATACAGACAGAGAGAATTAAACACATATGTCTTAAGATATGCGTATACTCATTTTGTCTTTTCAGTGCTAATGTCATAATTGTCAGTCCTCCTAAGAACTGTAATAAAATATTGCTAATAATGCTTTGCTTTTCTAGCTGTATTAAGAGATATGTTTGTATCTGATTCACATAAGGCCAAACTTCACACTTTAAAGATGGGAAACAGATTCAGAGCAACTTCAAGAAACATCTCTTTTAGTTCCCAAAGCTCCTGTAATCACTAATTTACACAGAAAGTTTGCTCAGACATACTTCATATTGCCAACATATGTGCCAGCCTTTAAAAAACAAGTAATTTCCATTTAAATCTTATGAGTCTGAAGCCATTTCCAAGTTATCAGTTCCTTATTTGTATTTCATGCTAAATTCTCAGGTGGGACCTGTGACAAAATGTTATGTATTTTCACCTCCTAACAGAAGTGCTTTTGTTCAGAGTTGCTGACAGCCCTGTCCTCCTCCAAGATACTCATAGCATCTTACCCATGCCAGTTTTCAGTTTTCCAAGCCCAACTGCGATTAATTGTTCTATAGTTACTGAGCATATGTTGTCCTCACTGAGCCAGTTTTGGAATGGGGAGTTACCCCTGTGGTTCTTTTTGTAGTTCTGCAAACCTCGGGGTTCCCCTGAGTGGACTGATACCTCAAGTTCAGTGGCCCTGTTTTGGCTACAACGCTAACAGCACTCACTGCCTGAGATTGGTAGTAGAGGCAGTAACAGTAAGATGAATAAATACATAGTCTTTTTTTCTATTGAAAGTTAAGTTCAGATTTTTCTTTCAGATTTAATTACAATTTCTCAATCTCTCCAGCTCCTCTTCTAACTCTTTGCAATTTTATGTTTTCACTTGGTGTAGGCTTATTACAGTTCAGTTCTTAAGAAAGGAGAAGAAAGTGGAAAAGAGAAACTCAGAAACTGAAAGAGTTAAAGAGAGAGGAGAAAAAGGAGAAGAAAGAACAGGAATGTGAAGTGAAATAGTTGTCCACTGGCTTTTGCGATATGTACCAGTTATTCATTGGAACACATCTTTTATTCCATATCTAAGTCAAAGAAGCTATGTCAAATGATTTGGTTCTCCCTCTCTCTCTCTCTCTCTCTCTCTCTCTCTCTCTCTCTCTCTCTGTCATTTAATGTTTCCATGGGGTCTTGGTGCAAGGAAAATCTGAATCCAAGCTTGCAGTAATTCTGGATTTCCATTTCTTAAACTGTTGTATTTATTTGGCTGTTATTTGGCTCTGGCAAACCATATGCCTGGTGTATATATGATTCAACAAGGTGTGCATATTGTATGTATGCATGCATGCATTTACAGCATTTCTACCCTGTCCTTAAACAGCATCTCAGGATGGCTTACAACAATAGATAGATGTCTTCTATCACAGGGATGTAGACATTCAGGCACAGGGGCCAAATCCAGTCTTCCTTAGGTCCAGGTTCCTCCCTCCAGGGCTCCATATACCCTTCCCTTGGCCTACATCATTTCCCCCAAGCATCAATCATTTGGTGCAGTTCTGTGTAATTTTTCCTCTACTCTAAAGGTTGAAATAGCTCTCTTTAGTTGTTGGTAGTAATAGCTTTAAACAAAAATACCCCTTTGCCCTCCAAATGTGGCCTCTAAGTGTTTCTCTGAAATGGAGTTTGGCCTTTAAGCTGAAGTACACTCATATACTCCTATTTTAGCATAGGTAATTTATCTAGGATTATGCTGAATCTTTAACTTCCATTCAGACATGGGTTATGATTTGTCATTTCCATAGAAGATACATGAGCCTTGTTTGCACTTGCCCACATCTTCAGCACTTATCTTCTAGTCATGTGTTAATGTCATAAAAAATGATCCCTATTATGCTCTGTTTGAACCTAATATCCAAAGTAGAAGATCTGATTGCTTTCAAGACTGTTCTATTTTTCTGTTTTAGGTCTAGGTTGGGAGCTAAGGATTCTTTGATGGCATTTTATAGGAATTTGCATTCAAATCCTACATTTATAATATCCATTTGTCCCCCCCCAATAAAATCTCAATCCCCCTAGTTCATATAAACATGCCACTAGCAAACTATACAAAAGCGTATCCCTTTGCCTTGTGCTTGTTGTGAGCTGAGTGAGAGCAGCAGCAGCAACACTGGCAGGCGTACCACAGCATTAATATATCCCTTCACTCTCGGCTGGTCCACCACCAAGCAATAAGTCAACTGGTTTGTATGGTATTGTCATACTCTGTTGAAAGTTGCCTCAGGGATCATTTGATTGAAATGTGGGTTATATATCTCAGAACAAATAAATCAAATATTCTGGCTGAATTCAGAGAAGTTTTCAGTTACACTGGAAACGAATGTTGGAACCTGCCTTATACTAAATCTAACTGTTGGAAGAGATCCTTCTTAGCCCTGCTACCTGAGATCCTTTTTAAAACTAGAGGGTCAAGGAATGAATTCTGGGGACTGCCGGCATGTACAGTGTGCTCCACTACATAGTTCTGTTCCTGAGCTATGGCTTGTCCTACAAGGTGTTCTAGCCATTGGCAGCGTTCTCTAAGCTCCAGCCACCCACATGGGCAGCTTTGTACTGGAAATCTCTCCCAGCTGCCACAAGCTCTTCTCAGCAGCCTGGGTGCTCCCATTGCTTCCCATGACTGCAGGACTTTATCAATACTACTAGAGGGATGAATAACTTGGTAAGTTGATGAAATGAAATGCTTCTCTATCATGCATCAGGAATAGGTTTCAATGAGACGGAGGCAGCAGGGTGTAGGCTGATTTTTTTCTTTACTAAAGGAGACTCTGTCAGTTGTATGCTTTGGTCCTCCATATGTTCAACACAATGAAAATCATCATTTGACCAAGAGTGTATGGTTCAGTCCATAATTCTGTGTATGCTTCCCAAGGGTGCTTCCAGGAGGACTCTTGGCAACACCAATCAAAACACAAGATGCAGCTTTTTGACTTTCCCTCCTCAATGGAGATTCTGTGCTAAGAGAAAGATGAAAGCAGGGGTGGAAAACATGGGAGGTTATGAATGGAAAATGCTGCTGCCTGGAGCTCCCATAGCACTCTCCTGTAATGATGTAACGTATGAGGAGTTGCTGCACAATAAAAGCCTTGTCTGGAAGCATTTCAAGAGTATGCCCCATTAAATGCAGCAGGACCTGGGGTGCTTCCAGATGCAGGTCTGCTAACACTAACAACCAAAAGACATTGTGTAGGTATTTAGATTTTTCTTTCTTAATTGATATTTTTCTAGTAAGAAAAAAGACAGAAACAGCAGTTTCAAAACATGGGATGGCTACAATTGAAAGTCAACTTGGAAAATTCCATGAAAAAGGAAGGATGATTGGACAATAACAGCTTGTCTGGAAGCATCCCAACCCTATGCACCCCCTTGCTGGAGTCACCTGTTCAAATCCTGAATGTGCCTTGCTGGTGTGGGATGCTATACCTTTAACACTGTGATCTACCTTTTACAAGAATCTGACTCCAACTCTCACTCACATGAACAGTTTGTAAACAGAATGTACATTTTAATAATATTTAAATAGTGCCTTTTTGCATCATGGACATGAAAATCATTACAGAGTGGTTCTTAATTTTGAGGGTCCATAACTTTATTTCAAAATAAAATAAAATGAAATGCAGTGATAGAAGGATGGCTAGACAAGTGGCTCTCCCTTCTTTTCTTCTAGAATAGCTGAGTTTTAGATGATGTCACTTGAGAACACTCTCATGCCCGCTCTAAAGGGTTGCAAATGAAGGGGAATCCCTTCACAGGAACAAAGGCCCTCAAAAGCCGTCTCAGCTTTACAGGGTACAGGGACGAATGAAGCAAAAAAAATTCCGCCGCAAGCACCCAATCCCACGAGAACTCTTCCATGCAGTCGGAGGGAAATGCATGCATCTTGCAAAGGCGCAGCACAGACTGGGTTGCACGCTCTATTGAGGTGCGTGGCGTGAACAGGAGGGGGCGTTCTTTTCGGAACTCCCAGGCACGTTCCTAGTCCCCATTCAACGCATGCGTAGCAGGAGGTGTCCGAAATGTATTGGCGGCGCGGCGTAACTGTTGAGGCGGCTAGCGCTTGAAAGGTTTGCGCATGCGCAGGAGGAAATGCCGTGAGGCAAAACAAGCCGAGGGCAAACTAGACTAGTTTGTGGAGGGAGGAGGCTGCCGAGTTTACGGTGGCCCGGTTGGTTCATGTTGCGCCTGCGTACCGTGGTGTTTGTGTATTCTGGCTGCGCGGCGGCGGCGGCGGCGGCGGCGCGGCGGCGGGGGAGGGGGGGAAGATGGCGGCGTCCTCGTTGGAGCAGAAACTGTCCCGCTTGGAGGCCAAGCTGAAACAGGAGAACAGGGAGGCTCGGAGGCGCATCGACCTCAACTTGGAGATCAGTCCGGCCCGGGCTCGGCCTAGTAAGGGAGGGTTTAAGGGGGGAGTTTTAGCGGTAGGCCCCCTACGTGGATGACACGGGCCCGCCGGGGAAGGCGCTCTGGGGCCCGCGGGATTGGGGGAGGGGAGGTTCCACCGAGGGGGCGGTGGGGAAGGCATTTCCTGGGCGGGGGAGACCTCGGGGCAGATGGAGGGGCATTTGAGTCCTTGTTTACGAAAGAGCCTAGAGAAGGTAGGGGCCCATGACCTGCACATTGGTGAGAGAGAGGGCTGAGGGGAACGATGAAGAAGTGGAGTGAGGCATGGATGTTGGACAAAAGTGTGTAGTGTGAAGGGAGGCATTTAAAAAGAAATTTCTGCTAGGGGCAGATAAGTGTCTGGTGCGTTACAAGAATGTCAGGCCTTTAGTGTGTTTCCTTTTGCCTTATATGTGGAGTTTTGAGAAGAAAAGGAAAAATGTAAAAGGAAAATAATAAGAGAAATGGGGCCCAGAGAGGAGGTCAAGAAAAAAAAACCGAGAGCTTGGGGTTGTGCAGGCTAATGGGTTATTTTGAAAAATTATGTGTTGAGTTTGCAGTAGGATGGCCTTCCTGTAGCATGGTGTTCTGTGGTCTGGTGGCTGTAGGCACGAGGAATATGCTTCGGGCTCAAAGTTGCCATCTGTTTTAATGTGGAATAAAGAACTTGTCCTATGTTTGGAGACAAGGCAGGAGCAGAGAAGCAAATATTGCTCCTGAAGCTGTTACAGTGGAGAAATGAACATGGGATTTTGCTATCTCCACATTTATTACTATTTTATAAAGTTAAGGTTTATAAAGGTTTATAAAGTTAAGGGATTAAGCAAATCCTTAGCATGCATATGAAGCATAGGAAGAGTAGATCAAAAATGTCTTGAAAAAGTTTAGCTGTATGCTCAAATACTGTTAGACTGCATCTCCTCTTCAGGGTCTCTTACTGGACTAATGGGGTTTCCCAAAAGTTTGGTTCCTGGGTTAATAGGTATGTTATGGATGGCACACTCAAAGATATGTGTGCATTTTCTTTATCATTTCTGAGAGTGCTGCTCAAGCTTCCTCCTTTCAGAATAGTTCAGTTAATATTTTCTTTTGGTGTACCATTTCCCCCACCTCTAGTACTTTCAAGTCAATAGCTTTGTTTTTGGTCAGCTCCAGCCTGGTTTAAAAAGAACTATGTTGGCTCACACCAAAGACCTGTCCAATCCTGCAGGCTGGATTTGGGAATTCTTTTCCCAATGTGTCCAACCAGATGTCTGCAAGAAGAATACGAGTGCAATAACACTCTTCAGCTTGCATTTTCCTGCACCTGGTTTAGAGAGGCAGATTCCATCTGATGCCAGAATGCGTATATAACCTTATCAATAACTACTAGTCACATTTGGAGTTTGTGGGGGGTGTTGATTCACCTAGAACCCTGTCAGCAGAAGTAGTTTCTTTGAAATCCCATTGTCTCTGCTAGGAAGCAAGATACTTGAGGGGCACTCACCCTCTTTCCCAGCTGAATTGGACTTCCAACAACCTTCCAAATAACAGAGACCCAGAGCATGTGAGGAGAGCTATCCCTGCATGCCCCTTTCCTTCGCAGAATTGTGCATTTGTCATTTAGGCAACAGCTCTCTGGATTTGTTTCATATCCTTCTATCACTGCTAATCGTCGAAAATTCCATGGTTCAACCATGTACAGTATGGGGTACTTCCTGTTATCTGTCCTGAATCTCCTATCTTTCAGTTTAATAGGATCATCCTGAGTTCCAGTACTATGATAGAGGAAAAGGATCATCTTCTTATACCCTTTCTCCACATTATGTATACTTCTGATATGCTTCCTATTAGCTTTTTTTCCTGATCTGGAAGGTCATAGCCCTTGTAACCACTGTAAGCTACTCCAGATCCATTGTCATTATCTTTGTTGCACCTTTTCCAGCTCTACAGTTCACTTTAAGTGTGGCAACCAGAATTGTACATAGTATTCCAGGCACTGTGAATTTGTGTAAAGTCATGATTGTGTTAATAGTTTTATTTTTGATTCCTTTCATGGTAATTTCAGCATAGAACTTGCCTTTTTCACAGTAGCCACATACTGAATTGATACTTTCATCAAGCTGTCCACCACAAATGGTCAGTCATCTGACTATGTCAGTGAATCCTGGTATCTCTTCACTCCTTCCTGGGGTGATGGCATTACCCATATTTTTGCTAAAAGAGGAAGGAGGAATGCTGTACTGTCCCTGCTCCAAGGGATATAAAATAATGTAGGTAGCCAACATGGTGGCTTATTTTTTCAGCCTCTTTCATGGCTCCAAAAAAAAAACAGTTTGAGAATTATGAATAGAATTATTTGTACACCTTCACTGAGAAGGCAGCTAGTGCATGGATTTATTTTTCACAGTATTTATAAAATGTCCTGTAGCAAAGTTCTCAGGGTGGCATAGAAGAAGAAACAAAAACTCTGTGAGAAGATTATGGGTCAAATATGAGTTATAGAGATTTTAATTGATTCAGAATTTTTGCATCTTGAAGCAGAGACCTGACATTTTACAGAGGGCTTTGTCAACAGTGTCACAAAAGTTAGTAAGCTGGTATTGTCTAGTATTGTCATCAGTTGATTTTTAATGTGCAGGACAAAATATTGGCAAAAGTGTCACAGCATGTATAAGCTCAACAGAGGCTACACAGAGTTTGTATCTTAATGACAGCAATGTTGGTCACTGTCAAGAGTCAGATTTTTTTTTCTTAATCTGACGTCTAAATATCACGTAGGGAATGAGTATTCTAAGTATTCTGTCACCATGAATAAGAAAAACTGGTAACAGCAGCATGGCCAAGGTGAAATTGCTAGGGTGATGGTGAGATTAACAAAAACTGAATCTAATTTAACGTATTTTCTGACAAACAAATAGCCTAACAGGCTTACTAGAATATCTCTGATAGTAATCACACTGTGGTGCCAGTCAGTCTGCAGATCTGATGGTGACTGAGGAGTCTAAGCAAGCAGAAATTGCCCCATTCACTTTAATGCTAGGGGCGTCTCTGCACACACTGTTGCCCCTGACAATGAAGAGAATGATCAGGGCTTCCTTATGGGAGTGGTATTCAGTGGAAGTTGCATCACTGACAAATAGGGAGAGGATTCTCCTTTAAAATGAACTAAAAGAGGGAAAGCGCAAAGCTCATCCATTTCTCACTGTTTATGACTGAGATATTACATATGCAGCATAGAAACAATTTCAATACTGTCTTGACCTATACCACTCCAATAATATGTGTAAACAAGAACTGTGTGGGTGGATGAGATGTGATTGTCTGTGCTAGTGATGTAGGTAGGAAGTAAATCATGCTATCCTGTGCATCCTCATGGTTCTTCGCATGTATTACAAGGTGATGTGGGTCCAGGCTCTATGGAAGCAGTTTCTATGCTGCCAAGCCCAAGTTTGAATAGAGCCCAGGTATTTTGTAAAGATTAAACCGCAGAATATAAATGGAATTTTAGTTTTGAGACTCATTTCAAAAAAGTCTACCTAAAGGAGAAAAGGGGAATGTAAAGTTCTCATCTTCTTCAGCTCACATCTCCTATCTATGGATTTTATATATGAGAATGTAGTGCCTTCATTTCCACTTTCAGTTGTGGTTTTGTGATTTATGAGTAGCTTGTTCTCAAGTTTGAGTCTAAAAGCCAGAAGTATTGCCATATATATTCTTCTGTGGATTAGTAGGTGAAAGCTAGAAGTGTGTAGCAGAACTAGGAGACAGAAGTAGCCCACAGCTCTGCAAACTCATGAGCTTTTGAACACATGAGGGAGATTGTAATATATATTCTACTACAGTATATATTCTAACTCCCCCCTCTTTGAATAACTGTTCCAGATCTTATAGAAAGTGGTTTATCCAGTTTTTTCCTGTTTAGTTCTCCCCCTGTCATTCTGGAATATTACATATTCAGAGAGGAAGGTGGTATTTATAGATGTCTTTAACAGTATACCCATTTACAATAAGAATTTTTCCAGAATATGAACATGGGAGCATGAGAATCTTGTTTTCTTTCCTATTGCACATGTTGTATTTATTAAAAAAATTCTTTGGCAAGTACAGCTACTATTTTATTATAGCAAAGTAAATTGCATAGTAGGAACTATAATCAAGCTCCTTGAATAATGTTACTACGTTTCTGCTTTCTATATAGCTATCAGATAAATGGTTTAAGATACAAGGGCCATATAAAGTTGGAGGGTGCTTATAGGTCAAGAGAATGACAAATACACTTTTGGAGTTGTAGACCAAACTATCTAGAAGACCAAATGTTGCCCAGCATGCTGAAGTGAAATAAGGCAAGAGATAAGTGACTGGGATTGAAACAGAGAAACAAATATCTAAATATGCTTTATGAAGAGTTATAAATGTATCTCTTACATCCTAGCCTCAAATTTCAGTGGACTGACAATATTTTGTGTGCAGAATAATCTATTTTTTGTGACAGACTCTTTTTCCAACTCTGTTTCCTTCCGTTTTATTCTGGATATTCCACAAGGGCAATGTAATAGTATAATTTGCTTGATGGATTTGTCTTGACTCTAGAGCTGTTAGAGAACCCCTGAATTCCACACTGTGTTACACGTTTTAAGCTGTAACATACCTTGTTTATGTGTGGGCGTGTCAGTGCTACACTTTTTACAGGGCAAAATTTGAGATAATTCTTTGTGACCATGTCTCCACATTTTATACCAATTGTTCCAATTTTAAAAGTGGGAGCCTGTGGTTTAGAAAAATCAACATGCTCCTTAGTGAACTCTTTATATGTAAGTGATCAAGAAAGTTGACATGATTTTTTGATACCAAGATTGATGATTGATGAGGTTTGAACATCTTGCCAATGTGTGAGAAACCAGTCATATAGGTTTTATTTAATAAAGACAGAAATCAAGGTATTTACATATTTGGTTTTGCTTTCACAATTGCATTTTCTGGTTTAGAATTATCTGAACAGATTTTATTTGCAGGGTGCATAGTAAGATTATGGACCTTAAAGAAATTTTTATGCTCAGATGGGGATTGCAGATATCACAGATAAAGTTCCCTGGGCACCCAGGAATTTGAAATACGTATGCAGCACTGGAACTTAAATCTCAGAGCCTTGAATTTACTCAGCATTGTACAATCTTAGTACCTAAGCATTTCATGCTGCCTTTGGGAAAAAAAATAGAACTGTTCACTAGCTAGTTTAAATGTTTATCTATGGCTGTGATTGCAGTGTGATGGATCAATTTGTTGATGAAGTTCTTGTGTCTTCTGGAAGTAAAGAAGGCCATCAAGAGCAATCTTGTTGCACAAGGAAATGGAATCCTGTGGAGCAGGAACAGAGTCCATAGAACACATGGGGAAAGAGGATACCACTGCGTACTTCACACTAGAAACACTAGGGATATGACTTCTGTGGAACTGATCCTTTACTTGTTTTATGCATCTCATTTTCACCTTGTCTGTCCCCTTTGTTGGTTTCTCACCACCTCCATTCCTTATCCTGAAATTGATTTGAATATGATTTATTTTCATTTTGATGACTTGATTGTTTCTGTTGTGATTTATCGTGTTTTTTTCTTCCTTTTCCCAATCCAGTTATTGTGATCACTCTAAGCCCTGCTCCCGCTCCATCCCAACGTGCAGGTACCAGAACTTTTTATCATCGCAGCTTGGATTTCTTGCATCATTTACTTAATGCTTCTTTCAACTGTGTAGAATTGCCACTTGTCTGCTTCTTCTTCAAGTGTGTGTCTGACCCTGCTTCTTTCCCCACTTTGGTATTCTTTACTTTTGTTCTAGCCTAAATCATCAGGACTGGCTAGGCAAAGCAGTGCATAAGGCCATGCATGGGAATATGTTTGATTGTCCACAGCTGCAGTAGTTGATTAGCACCTTCCTTTTCTGATGATGACAAAGCACTTTCTAAAGGCAGGTAACCACTAAATTATGCCCTATGTCAGTCTTTTTCCTTTCATGTGCCTGACCTCTCAGGTAGAATCTGGCAGAAATTTGTGTTGCTATACGTTGCCTTAGATACTTTTGGGTGGAAAGGCAATTTGGAAATGCCAAACTTTATATAGCAAAACAGGATTTATCCTGTGGGAAGTACAGTTGCCTCTGAGGTAGAAATCAGTAGTAAGCTTTTAGTTTTATTGAACACCAGTTTGCTTAAGGGCAGAAAGTAAAGATTTTTCTCTTAGTCAAAAACAACTTAATAGGATTTTTTTAAAAAGGGGGAGCATAGTACTCCTCCTTGGAATTGGGCAGAATGCAAGTAGTTATGAAGTGTCCCATTGAAGGGAGGGATGGCGAGAAATCCTAAAATTAACAAAGTTTGCAGTATTCCACAATTGTGCATGGTTATTTTTTGATATCTGAGTACATTTATATGTATTGAATGCATTTATATGCATGTCTGTTTTCCTTAGCATAACTTGCAACGGGATTCATAGATTAGAGGGAGCCTTGTGCCCAAATATTGGCAGGTCACAGACATGCTAAGCTTCAGAAAATGGATCTGAATGATACAATTTGAACCACTCTGTGGGTTTTATATATATTTCTGGGTCAGTGGGGCTGTCAGCTTATTTAGAAACTGATGTACAATGCAAGGGACTGCACAGGTTTGTTATTTGTATTATGGAGAAAATATTCTTACACCAACAGCAACTGCAACTATTGGGAATCTTGGGAATAATCCTATATTGCAGTTCTTTAAGTAGAAGTTAATGTACAGTCATTTTCTTAGCTGTTGCATGCACATACAGTAAAAATATAATTGCTAGCTGGATAAGCTTTAATTGGATAATTCAAAAATGAGATGATGTTAGTTCTACTTTATTGGCCAAGAACTTTTATTGAAGTTACTAAACTTGAATGAAGAGCAAGTTTAATGCAATGCCTTCCATGATAATGGAAATCAGCAGCAGAGATTAAAAACAAGTTCCTGATCTTCTGAGTCTGTCTCTGTTCTTGTGTGGTGGTGGAATATTCACTGCCTCTTGCAGACCTATTTGAGCTGTTTTATGATAAATTGATAATATTTTCTAAATAAGATAAGTTTGGTAATGTTGCTTATTGAGACATCTGAATAAATGAGCACCTCGATAGACAAGTGCTTAAAGAATCTGTAGTGGCTTAGAAGTGATTACACTGAAATGCTCAGGTTGTTGCCTTGCCAAATGTTATCTTTGGCTCATGCAAGCTGACTTCTTCACCTTCTGCCCTGAGTGACTGTAGCTGTATTTTTTCTACCATAGAAGCAGTAATCTTTGCATGTATAAAATACAGAGAGACCAGTATGTCATTTTGTACAGATGTTTGCCTAGCAGTGCTTTGAAGTCTTTCAGGATAGGAATGTGTTTTATTAGATTACCTTCCAGTGTTTCCCAGCCTTGCCTCTCACTAGCTCTTACTTGTGCTTTTGTGCTATGCCACTTGTTCCTTGCAGATATCATCCAGCAAAATTCTTACCTTTCCATTTAAAATAGTTATTACTCTAACATTTTCTTCTGTAGGCAGCATATTGACTATTTCTGTGACTGTTAGGTTTACACATATTGTTACTTGTGACATGCCAGTGTCATTGCAGCCATTTGAAATACACATGGTAGAGGCAACTACATGTTAACCAGCCTAATTATGAGAGCAGCTCTTGTGGAAGGGGGGTTCTTTTTATTGTGGCTGAACAGCATATCAAATAGAGCCACAAAATCGCTTCTTAGCTCTAACTTCTGGCTGTTTTTTATTATTCTTTATTGAAAAGCTTGATTGTTGGTGCTGAATTTGAATGAGTGATGAAATTCCATTTTCAACTTTAAACATATTTTGTGGCTATTGTGATTGCATAGAAAAGTTTGCCCATTCTGTTCCTTCATTACCCAGAAGTAGAAAGGCAAGTGATGGTGCCATGTTGCATTATTTTACAAGCCAACTATTGAGTTAGCAAAGAAAGAAACCTAATTGATAACCTGTAAATATGTGAGACTTGCAATTATATGGATAAATATATTAGGTTTAAGAAAAGTGTATTGGAACTCACTTCCCTTTACAATTACAGGGGAAGTCATGCTTAGCATAAGTCTAAAATGCCCTTTCTTTTCTTGAAGAAAGTTTACTTGAGAGGGAATGAGATAGTTTAAACAACACATTCTTTGGGGATTTATATACTGTGTAGCTGCCTTTCCATTGCGTTGGATCACTGCCTTTCCTCCAATTTCTTTCAGTTAAAATGTACTCAAGTGGAAGTGCAGCAGTACACCATTTGACTGCTTTAAGTGGAACAGCAAATGAACAACTTGTGAGGAGGTCTTTGCTCTTGAGTTGTTGCTTCACCTTTGGGTGGAAGCCTGTTATTCCTGTTTTCTAGTGCCCACACACTTTAGAGATGGGCAGATGCTCAGCTACCTCCTCAGACTCATTGGGGATTATATGGTCCTCAGGGGCCTGTCCAGTGCTCCTCACTGTCCACCAGTGCTGGAAGACCTGGTGTAGCTTTCCTGGAGGTGAAAGGATCTGTTAGAGAGATGTATAGGTTTCCTTCATGGTCTCTGAATCGTCATGCAAGTAATCCTGGCTTTGGTCAAGCATGACAGCTGAGAATGTGGCAATCCCAGGAGTCCTCATTCTTTCGACTAGTTTTAGCTAGTTTTAAAAACTTCCAGTCCATGAGAGAATGCCTAAGAGTATCTCATAGAGATCACATTTCAATTATACTAATATTACTAGAATGGAATGTGGTACGGGTTTGGAACTTGGGAATGCACTGTGTGTACCAAATGCGCAATATGCTAATCTGTAGCTCTGGTTCTTTGAATGATGGTGAGAAGCTGAATTCAAGGATGGCATTCACATAAGTTTTTCACTGTAACTCTGCACATTTTTAATATGTTGTATATGTTGTTCTATGAGCAGTGCTTCATAGAGATGTTCACTCCAGATGTCCATTTCCAAAAGAAGGCATTGGGGTACAGGAAAATTCAGTTCAAGGTACTTTTTTGAAAGCCCAGTCAGGGGAACTACTTGGGCCTAGCAGAATTTCCTGTCTAGAAAGCACAGCAAGTACAAATGGAAAAGTATTCTTCTAATACTGCCAGTCTAAATGACTTCAGGCATCTTGTATATTGGTAATACTTGTTATACAAGCAATAGTACAACTCTGAATTATGTATTCCAGTGTTGCAGTGCAACCACCTTTTGGGAAGAGCATACTTTTGAGATAGCTAATGCATTTTTGTGTTAAAAATGCATCAGCTTTTGCTGGTGAGGCTGGGGGTTGAGCAAGAATGTAGCTGCTAGAATTAAAACAAAACCATATCTGTACTTCATTATGGTAGGAAACTTGCCAGAGTACAAAGACACAGGCTCACATTTCTCATATTAAAATTTCTGCAACCTAGTACTACAGTTCTTCTGTGTACAACTAGTACCTCTGTGTCAGTGCTTTAGTTAGTACCTTTGTTCAGGTGTTGGTTTGCCTGCTTAGGTAAGCCTCTAGATCATAAAATGATTGAGTTATCAAAGGTCTGTAGCAATAGAAATCCATCCGTTGTTCCTTGAAAAACATTCAGGAAATGTTGGTCATCTAGTAATTAAATGTTAGGTCGGGGACTGAAGTTATTTATTACAATATCAATCCCCTCTAGGCAATCATGTGTTAATGCATAGTGGAAAATAATAGTTTGCATTTCTACAGCAAACAACAAAACTATACAAATTATGCCAGATTAGTATATTGCGTTTATATCCTGCCTTTTATCCTGTGAAAAACCCAAAGCAGCTTACATAGGCTTCCTCCTTTCTGTTTTATGTTCACAACAAACCCTGTGATGTACTTGAGGCTGAGAGTCAGTAACTAGCTTGAAGTCATTCACTAAGCTCCATGGTAAAGTGGAGACTGGAACCCAGATCTCTTGGGTCACAGCCTGACATTCTGTAGTGTCTTGATTTACATAATTTTACATACTTTACATGCGAACTCCAGGTCACATAATTTGATATTTTAGCACAGAATTCAAGATTCTCTGCTTATAGTAAGACTAGTCTGGTTTTATAGTAAAAATTACCCTAGCTCGGTGTTCCAGAAATGTAAAAGTCCAATGGTACCCTGGATGCTACCATAGGCAGCTATGGGCTGAGATTATAGGGCTTTAGCTGTTGACAGGGAGATGGAAGCCAGACACTCATCTTCCAGCTACAGTGCCTAGAGGTGATAGGAGTGTAGAAGTAGTTAGACTCACTGTAGGTTGAAAAGGTTGCTTAAGATAAGATGCATTCTGCCTCTTGCCAGGTCTGTTGCTGGCCATTTCCCCCCATTATTTAAAATGTTCAGATAGGGAGTTAAAAAGAACATTCTGTTTGGTTTCTTCTGTGTGTCAGTGAATGGCATTCCTTGACCCTCAGTCTTCATCAGACCCGCATTTCCTTGGGAGTAATATTGGTGACAGTACTTCGCAGTACAACTATACAGTAAGTTTTAGGAAGAGGTGGGGCAACATCGTTGTCTCTCAAATACACTGCATTACAATGTGGCAAGTAGAGACAATTTTTGGAGCTCCTGTTTTAATTCTCAAGTGCCCCAGAATGGCATGTATGTAGATGGATGCCTTGTATGTAGGGAGCTGAAATGCTTTTGCACGTTTCAG